TTATAAACAAAGTAAACTCAACCCTCCTCTCCCTCTTTTCTTTCACAAAAACAAATGAACTTGCCGCCCAGGCAGCCTTGACTCGTAACCTCGACCACTAAAACTACTTTCTCCTGTGTTAGCAGTCCACCCCAAACATCCCTAACATGGTTACAGAGTCAATGGCGCTCACTCGCGCCCACTGCCGCTGCGTTAGCAGACGTGATGCCCAATATGAACGAGAGAAATCTAGGTTTCTGTTCTCGTTAAGGAAATCTGAATTCAGGTCTGATTTTGTGACAACTTTTCGTGCGAATAACATCTCTTATCTGCCTTATTCTATTCGCAGGGTATACACAAGGGTGTTTGAGTACACAATACCCTGCTTCACTATACACTGATTATATATATATATATATATATATATATATATATTATATATATATATATATATATATATATATATATATATATATATATATATTATATATATATATATATACAGTGTTAGTCACGGCATTATGTTGGGTGAGCACCCCGGCATAATGCCGTGACGAAAATCAAAGGCCTATCATACAAGGGGTCTTTTTTCATCAGTGCATTATGCCGGATAGCAGCCGTTAGCATGACTTCACGGCCTGCCGCCACACTCCACAGTGACTCCTCAGTGCTCACGTGGCTGCAGTGTTGAGAGGAAGTGTTGCACTTTTGTCTCTCATCCGCCCCATCTTTTGTCCGGTGTTCCCTTTGGTTATGGGGCTGTACAAGTTTGAGTATGAGTAAAAAGATGTCTTTAACACCTGAAACTATAGCTCAAATCATAGGGCTTCACAAAGCTGGGCACCAAACGAAAAAAATAGTGGAGAATGTTAGTGTGTGTGAGCGTTCAGTGAGGAACTGGGCGCAGCATTTCAAGTTTGGTGGCGGTGTTGTGTTACAATCTGCCAAACCTCAGCCTGGCCCCTCGAAGAAGACATCTGTTCGTACCTTAACTGTGTTAAAGAAGCAGTTAGAGAGTACACCTAAGATAAATGCTAGAGAACTCAAAGAAAAGAACCCACATCTTCTCTCAGAGGTGTCTGTAAGAATTGTTAACAGATGTGTGTCAGAACTGGGCTACAGTAGTCACCGTCAGGTTAAGAAACCTATCCTCTCCAAGCCACAGAAGAAACGAAGGCTGGATTATGCAAAGAAATATCTTCACTGGAAGCCTCAACAATGGTCTGAAGTGCTTTGGAGTGATGAAGCAACCTTCACCGTCAACTGTAACCGTGGGGGACGTGTACCGGCCCAGAGGTAGAGACCCGCTAGACCCACGGTACACCTGTGGGACCACCAAACATCCAGACTCGCTCATGGTATGGAGATGTTTCAGTACTCAGTGCTGGTGAACTAATTGTGCTTCTCAAAAACCAGTATATGAACCAGTATAATTTCCTGGAGTTATTGTGTGACAATTTACCTGAGGCATTTGACAAGTGTGGGGCTACGGTTTTTATGCAGGACGGTGCATCGTGTCATACCGCCAAATCTGTAGTTAGTGGATTAAGGACTGTAAAGCGAGGTTCTTTAATGACTGCCCAGGCAATTCCCCAGACCTAAACCCTATTGAGAACCTCTGGTCAATAGTGAAACGAAGTTTACTGGGCAAGGATATTAGTTCCATCCCGCGGCTGGAGGCTGCTCTATATGAGGCATGGAATAATATACCTCCCCAAACCTTGTCAAACCCTGTGTAAAAAAAAAAAAAAAAAAAAAAAAAACTCTAAGAATCACGGCCGAGGGACGTGATTAAGCGTAAAGGACGCAGCACCAAGTATTAAAACCTCAGTAAGTTTCCATATATATATGTATATATATATATATATATATATATATATATATATATATATATATATATATATATATATATATATTAAAAATTTTCATGGTATGTGTTTGTGTTTTGGTACCTGTGTGGGGGAGGGGCGGCATAATGCTGTGACTGGCTATATTATATATATATTTATATATATATATATATATATATATATATATATATATATATAATATATAATATATATATTATATATAATATATATATGTCGTGCCGAATATGCAAAACTGGTGAATTAGCAAGAACTCATTTAAAATTAAGTCCTCTCTGAAATTTTCTCTTTTACGTTTAAAGATATATTTTTTTCATTAATGTTAATGTAAAAAATTTTTATTTTGCACTAAAAGAATCTTAGAAAACTTACCTAACCTTATTATAACAAGAGCAATTTATTTTAGCCTAACCCAGCTAAATATATTTTAAATACGTTTACTATAATTTAGTACTAAACAAACACAATCAAATATATTTTTTTCGTTGGGTTCAGAATGATTTTGGCGAAATTATTGCATACACAAAATTTCACTTGTCCTATATGGCAAGATGAGCGTTGCTATTTAAGCCAAGATCGCAAGTTCTGCCTATTCGGCACGACACATATATATATTTAGAATTCGCAGAACAAGCGAAATATTCACAAACACTAAATCTCGGGTCGAAGAAGATTCGAACCTACGCACCTTGGAACAAAGTACACAGTGCTCTACCACCGTACCACACTGGTCATCAATACCTAGGATCGACACCATGCCTAACCCTTCTAGGGTAGGGTAGGTGCCTGAGCCCGAGCCTTTAGCTCATAAGACTGTCATTCCCATTAGCCCCCTTAGGGCGGGGATGGCAGACCAGAGAGGCCTAGCTTGTGGCTAGGCCTGGGGACAGTTGGTCCCAAAGATGAGGAGGTACTTGTGCCTCCTCCCATGGGAGACTTAGATCTCAGACACTCCCTAAAGAGGGAGCCAAGGCCGGGCCACCACTCGGAAAAGGCCCGGGCCGGGAGAATACCGGCTAATCTTTAATAATAATAATAATACAATACCTTGCCACCCAGCTAAAACAAGACGTTCTGGTCCAAGACAACCAGCTTTCAGGCAGGTGGCTTTCAGCTTTTCATCTCATTCCCTGCATGCATCGACCGACGAGAGATTTTTACAGTGTTTAGAATTCGCCGAACAGGCGAATTAGTGTTCGTGAATATTTCGCCTTTTCTGCGAATTCTAAACACTGAGCAGAACAAACTTTATTTGTAGATCAAGTTTACCTGTAAAAAGATCGAAATAATCTGTGATGGTACGTTCCGCATGTAGCAAGCCTCGCCTCTCAAGAGGACAAAAACTCATCGTTTTCAGATATACCTAAAAAAAAATTATGACAAAACTCATCGTTTTCAGATATACCTAAAAAAAATTATGACAATGTATATGATAGGTGACTATAAACAGGAAGGTTGTCTGTCTCTCGCTCAGCGGACGGAGGATCAAGCCTCCACCACGTCTTGCGCTGAATGACCCACATGTATTTTGCGCTTATCGTGAATTAAACAAAACAATATTATGCTTGCGAGCAGTTTATATCTACAAAATCCTAACGGATGTCTCAATAAAAAAAAAAAGTAACATGCGAAGCATTAGCTTTAAAATTCCTATTATATTCATAAGTCAACGTTCAAGTCAGAGGAAAAAACCGGTAACGGGAGGGTAGCCTAACACACTCGATGACAAGTCCTTTTTTCAGCATCAAATAGAAAATACTTCACATTTCTACAGTCATCTTACCATTACTTGGAAAATGTTTTTAAACGGTTTATGTAACCTAGTCCCCTCAAGGAAGGTTCCTTGATGTTGGTGAGGGGCTCTTGATTTAGGGAATTGGATCTGTGCTCCAGTTCCCCGAATTAAGCCTGAATGCCTTCCACATCCCCCCCCCAGGCGATGTATAATCCTCCGGGTTTAGCGCTTCCCCTTGATTATAATAATAATAATAATTATGTAACCTAACCAACCCTAAAACAAGAATAAAAACAAGTACTCGGAAGCACATTAGAAATTGCTGGTTCTTAATAAAATCGAGGCTAGAAGCACAGCAACTTATAATGTGATGATTAAAACTGCAACTGCTGCAATACTTGCATCTTCGCCGAGAAGACTGAATGAACTTCAGTACTCGACAGTCATTCGAAAAAAAAAAAAACTGTGACCCTGGCATTAATAGTGAGGTGGAGGGCCGGAACAGGAAGGTGAAGCTTACACCTCTGGTTATTACGCTGTTTTGACTTTTATTATTTTGCTTTAGTGGTGATGTATCTCCATATACAGTCGTGTTTCCAGGCTCCACAATTTATTACACTTGAGACAATTACTACGACACCGTCAACTGATACACTCGCCAATAAAAAAAAAAGTTTTTTTTTCGTTAAAAAGGTCATGTGAACAAACACTAGAATATATATTTATTAGCAAGAGTTCCGGTCCAGAGACCTTGACAAGGTCCCTAGACCGAAGTATTTTAATAAATATTTCCTAGTGTCTCCTCACATCAATTTTTTTTTAAACAAGTGGAGTATTATTTACCAAGCTCCTAACAAAATATTTAATCACTCAAAATTGTTAAATTTGACCATGATATATTAGCTTAATAGTATATTTAAAAAAAATTCAACATGTGCAAATAGATTAAGGGCAATTATCTATCCGCTTAACATTATTAATTATATATGTTCAATGACTGATGCTATCAATTGTAATTCACCAACTTTCGAATATAATATATCGGAATTTGTACATTAGCATCAATACTATAATTTGACAAGGTTTAATTAAAATCAATGATTAAATATAAAATACACACAGGTAAAACTAGGAAACATTAAAGCAAGTTCTAGGTAAATTTAATCCATCATCCATCATTTAATCCATCAGGAAGACTGACTATTCCTAGAGCCTAGCGAGCATACTGGGAAAACATGTACACCTTTTTCTCTATAATAAGCAAGATATGTGTAAGACCTGGGTATCTTTATTCCCGGAACGTTTCGCCTGCACAATAAGGAATTACTTCCTGCACTGAAAATAACTTATCCTGTTCTAGTTTATGTTGTTAGCCGTGAAAAATTCCTATCTTGTTTCTCTAGTTATATGCTGCTTAC